AATAACAATGTTTATTATTACTGTAATTACAGTTCCTGTATCTAGTGTAGAAATCACCAATAATAATGTTTATTATTACTATAATTACAGTTCCTGTATCTAGTGTAGAAATCACCAACAACAATGTTTATTATTACTATAATTACAGTTCCTGTATCTAGTGTAGAAATCACCAATAACAATATTTATTATTACTATAATTACAGTTCCTGTATCTAGTGTAGAAATCACCAATAACAATATTTATTATTACTATAATTACAGTTCCTGTATCTAGTGTAGAAATCACCAATAACAATGTTTATTATTACTATAATTACAGTTCCTGTATCTAGTGTAGAAATCACCAATAACAATGTTTATTATTACTATAATTACAGTTCCTGTATCTAGTGTAGAAATCACCAATAATAATGTTTATTATTACTATAATTACAGTTCCTGTATCTAGTGTAGAAAACACCAATAAAAATGAAGATCTTATTAAAGATAGAACTGTCAATTTAGAATGTAAAACAACTGGAGGATATCCTCTACCAAATATCACGTGGTCTATTGATACTAGAATATTGATGACGTCAGTTAATACAACTACCAGTAGTTTATCATATCAACCTGTTGTATCAGATCAGGGTCAAAGGTTACAATGTTCAGCTACCAATGGTTATGGTCAATCTCAAACAGATTCATTTCAACTTGATATTAAGTGTAGGTATTAACTATATATTTTGAATTATTTTTTTCAAGTGAAATTTAAATTAGCATCTTCAAGATGTTTACGCATTCATTAACATAAATTAAGATTGGTGTTTTAGACATATCTTCTGGATAGCATATATTATGACATAAACCTAACATATTTTATATTATAGTTGTGGCGTTGTTAACGCGTAAGATTATCAGGACCACAAAACCAAAAACATTAGAACAGCGTTCACACAGATTTTATTAAAACCATAATATCATAAAAGCATAAATATGTGGACAATGGTGAATCTAACAGATATGATAGGATATTTGACGATTAACTGAAACGATACAAAATTACAATAATAAAAAGTAACTATTCATACAGTCAAGTAACCTAATTTCGTGGAAACCTATTATTCGTGTATTTCCGGAAAGGATTAATAATTTACATGAGCGACCTTGCGCGACCTCCGCATTAGTTTGTTTTGATAAACATGGGTTTTTATCTACAATATCAGCTAGTAGAATGAATCCAGTAGTTTCAAGCAAGGTAAAATGTAATAATGTATACTTTGACAAATACAAAATGGCGGATTTCACTTATTACCAAACGATACCATTTATTATCGGCCGAATTTCCTTATAATCCCAAGCGGTAATCGGAATTCCAAGTGTCGTCTGCTAGATTATATTCCAACGAATGAAGTCACGTGATCAACTAGCGGATTTCGTGTCAGCAGATAATTTCTATGGAACACAAAGTGGACCGTATTCTTATGTTGTTTCAGTGACTTTTAGCAATAAATCACGCTATGTGTCTTATTTTGTCAGTCACTATTTTTTTTTTAAATCGTGGTTCTTTGAAGGAATTGACACTAGTTATAATGAATTGATATTAAAGATAAATACTAAGAGAGGTTAATTATACCACCCGGTATCCATACAACGTGTTTTTCTAGACTTATTTATAGATCAAACATTGTACACGAAAATGAGTGACGCATTCTGCCGCCATTGCCGAGTTGGTTGTTCATGAAATATGGGTCAAAGTGAAGGATTCATAAAGAAAATTGAAATAAACCAATTTTAATTATTTTGTAGAATATCTGAGGAAACATCTATGACATAAAAATTTTTTTTCGTTTTTTTAACTATGACGAAATTCAGTGTTGAATCCTTATATCCACGAAAATAGGTTACACCACTGTATATAATTTGGGCAAGAGAAAGACTCTTTAAATATTACAGAATGTAAATAAAGCTATTCGAGGAATTGTACTTTCACTTTCCATATAAGGCTAATCCACATTGCGCTAATCATGCGTGACGACTCATTGACGATAGAAAGATTTCGGACCTAAACTTTACAAATAAATTACACTACAAATACAAAATGTTCTACGATATACATTAAATAAGATAACATAAAAACATACCAAATTGTCAACCACTAATCTCCACAAATGACAGAAATAAGTTCGAACGATAAAGCCATGCTCTTTGAGAAGGAAGCTATTACGACACGTTGGCCAGTTCGTGTTGCTACCGGTTAGGGGTCGGTTCGTTTATACAAACCTGTTTTCTACAATAGTTAATTAGCATTAGATAGTGAAGTAGATTTTATTGTATATGCTTTAAATAATATTTTTACTATAATAACTTTTTTGTAAAATTGTAACAATTTTATGTAAAAGAAGACGAATAAAAGACGAACTGTGTGTTTTTTTATTATTATTTTAGATAAGAACTTTTTGTGGTTATTTTCAGATAAACCAATTGTTGACATAAAACCATCTACAACACCATATAAACTGATACAAAATCAGACAGTTGAATTAGAATGTCAAGTTAACCAATCTAATCCAGTGGTTACAAGTTATAAATGGTATGGAAATGGTAATATAATAACAGGATCTAGTTCAACATATACAGTATCTAATGATGGTAGTTATTCCTGTTCAGCTACTAATTCTGTTGGTGAATCTGATAGAAGTCGTGTTATATCTGTAGAGATTTTATATCCACCGACTGTATCTACTCTACAATCACCATATTCTATTATAGAATCTACACCCCTCACTATACCCTGTATAGCTACATCTAATCCTGTACCTAATAATTATACTTGGTCTGGACCGAATAACTTGCTACAATCTCAACATAATTTAACTATATCTAGTATCAATAGAGATCAAACAGGACAATATACATGTACAGTTAGTAATATCATGATATCAACTACTGGTGTACAACAAACTGGTACAGGAATAAGTTCAACTACTGTAAATGTTTTATGTAAGTATTTGATATTCAAAACCTCTGAAGATGTCAAGTCATGACACTAGTGCTGTAAATATAAAAATCGACAACAAGAACGTATCTAGTGCGTTTGGTAATTGGAAAGACAAACATTTTTTCACTTTCACATTTTCTTGATTTATACTAGTAATGGACAGTAGTCTGAAGATAACGTCTTTTGTTTTAAAATAAAAATTCAACATTACTATATAGATGATTTAACTGTATTAATGTTGGACACAAATATCAAACAAACGAGAATCAGAGAAAGTACCCCTCTTTGCATTATCAACTTATTTTATATTTCTTCATCAAATAACATAATTATCGTCCTTAAGATACATATTATTTTTTACTATTTTAGATGGCCCTGAAATAAGTGTATCTAGTGTACAAACTAATATCAAAGAAAATGAGAATCTCAGAATAAATTGTAATGTAAAATCCAATCCACCAACCAATGATATAGTATGGTATCAATCTAATGGTGATATTGTACCAAACCAATTTGTGGTTAATTCTGGAGCTAATAGAAGAGATTTGGTTATTAATGATATCAATCGTAGCAAATCAGATAATTATACCTGTACAGCAAGATTAGATCTACATCCTACAGTTGGTGATATTTTACAACAAACTCACAGTAAATCTTCTATCATAGATGTACAGTGTAAGTGGATTTGTATTAACATTCAATGACAGACCCTACAATGTTTCACTTATTTACTAGAAGTACGAATGGAAAGGGGTTATGACTTTGTTAGGATGAAGTTGGAATTTAACATTCATGCACTTTACAAGAAAGGAGATTTGCGTTGTCTTATTCCAGTGTTAGTTTCATTTCTCATGAGAATGTATTAAACCATTGTTCATTATAGATTTTTACGCTATAGAAATAACCACCAACCAAACTAAACTAAAAGAGAATGATGCTGTATTTATTAGATGTACAGTTGATAGTAACCCACCAGCTTCTATCAAATGGTTTAAAGATGGTGATGTAGAACTACCAACAACAAATTCTAATCTCTACTTTATATCATCAACATCCTGTTTAGATACTGGCAATTATTCCTGTTTAGCTACAAATACTGTTTATATAAATCAGAAAACAAAATCATCAGAATTATTAGTTCATTGTATGTATATAATGTATTTACTGTTTGTATATTATATAGGTCCATTGTGTTTAGTAATATTTACTGTATATTTATATAGGTTCACGATGTAAAGTAATAGTCACTCTTTGTATATTTATATGGGGTTCACCATGGTAAGTAATATTTACTGTTTGTATATAAATATAGGTTCACCACGATTAGATACAAGAGAGGATCACAGACTAAAAGTATCTGGTGATATTGGAGAAACAGTTGAATTAACAGCAGATATTATTTCCTATCCTGGTGCTAATTTTCAATGGTTTTATAAAGATAATGGTAGTGATATACTGATTGGTAATCAAGAACCATATTTGGTCATCAACAATCAAAGATTTATTAACAGTTATAGATCTGTGTTAAGAATAAATATTACTTCAATTGAGATGTACAGACAGTATTATTTAAATATTACCAATGATGATAGACTGAGTAATAGTTTACAGTTTCAACTTATATCTGAGAGTAAGTTTAGTACTTGAATAACAATTATCATGTTTGAAAACTTATGTTATGAGTAAGTTCGGTATCTAATGTGTAACATTTTCATTGATGTATTCGTATATAATAATCTGAGTCTGAAACATTTGTTCATGGATCTTTAGAAAATCTTCTTTTTCAATCATCTTTAAAAAAGTAAATTAAAGGGATACTACATCTTAGAATACACTCGTCCTGTGGCTAATATTTGTGTTTAATAGTAACCATTGGTTAAATAAGTATGCATCCCACACTTTATCAAGTTTGAAAAAGCGACAATAAAACTATGATCAGAATTAAAAAAAAAAGTGAGCAAGCCATGAATCAGTTCAGTTTGAGAAAAAAAAAAGAGTCTGGGTAATCAACGCTAAAACAGGAAACAATCATCTTCCGATGTATACAAACAAACTTTGCCAATGATTAATATTCGTTGAAAATTGTGTCAGTGGTGGAGTATCCATTCTAAATTATATGAATCGCTTAATCTCCTACGAGGCATTATTATTCCGTCTTCAAAATATGTGTGACAATGTCGAGGTCAATTCAAGAGTAGAGGACAAGGACGCGGGAAACCCTACTTGAGAGTTACTTCCCCTTGTGATTACACCGGATTTCCTAGACTCACGATTTGAAAATCGCTTAATGGATGTATTAAGCGTTTTATAATTAAATACTTGATTTTGTGGATATATCGGATTATAGAGGGATTTTGATGTATAGTTAGGACACCAGGTAAGTCCACTGATGGATATATACTGTTATTCGCCAAATTATGTTCATCCTAAGATGTAGTATCCCTTTAAAGTATGAGAAAATGTGAACCTCATTATTTACTATTTTTTTTTAGCTGTCCCAGATAGTCCACAAGATGTAAGATTATTGAATGAAACATTAGATACAATTTGTGTTGAATGGAGACCAGGATTTAATGGTGCAGCATCACAAAGTTTTATAGTTCAACATTCTACTGATGATAAAACATGGGTCAATTCGTCCACAATACCAGATGGTACCAATAATGGTCGAGTTGACTATTGTATAGAAGGATTGGAACCAGATACTAGTTATTATATCAGAGTGATAGCTAGTAATAAATATGGTGAAAGTAAAATTGGAAGATTATCTCAGAGTGAACTTCCTAAGACAGCACCGAGACGAGGTAAGAAAAAACAACAAAGTTTTACAAGATAACAACTTGCCTACCTTCTGTTCTTTGGTTAAAACTGATTTGTTCTAGATAGTAGGTATCAATTTACTGTTAGAACTATTGAAAAGACGAATTTTAATTAAATAAGAGTTGAGAATATGAACACTAGTTTGATAA